AGTCAAAGCCTTTAACTTATATCTCAGTCACAGCTGGTACCTGCAAGACATTGTCTCACTAAAAGAAACAAAAAAAAAAGCTGGCATGTAGCACTTTAAAGACTAACAAGATCGTGTATTAGGTGATGAGCTTCCGTGGGGCAGACCCACTTCTTCAGATCATATTCTGAAAACGAATTGGCATGACCATTATATAACAGAGGGGTACTATGAAAAAAGTAAACAAATTACAAACTAACAAATCAGCTACGTAGAACAGAAGGTGGGGGCGAGGGGACAAGGAAGAATGAAATAGACAAGGGAAATAACAAAGGGGCAGGCCAATAGCCCTAAATAACAAGCCCCTATGCTCTTCATGACCATACTATTGAGCACAAAGTCACAGCTCAGTTGGATAATCTGTGTTTTGTCACCTTTTGGCACCCCAGATCAGGACTATGGTCCTTCTAGTCCAGTATCTTCTTTGTGAGAGTGACAGTCCCAGGTGCTCCAAAAGAATTTGTAAGCCCCCCAGTATTAGGGAGATGGGGAGGGGTGACTTCACTGTCATGAGATTGTCAGCCTAATGCCCAACAGACAGAGGTTGACTTGTGCTGTGAAACACAGGGATCCATTGGCTTTCCAAAATATTTACTCGGCTGTAACTATTCTACCTGGCTAGTTTCACCATCCACGTACATGTTCAAACCCTTCCATGTTCTTGCTTAGTTCATTGCCTGAACCACCTCTTATGACATGAGTTCCTCTGTCTAATTAGGCACTGGGTGAAGAAAAGCATTCTGAATTCCAGAGTTTGAATTTGCCACACTTCAGTTCAGTTGAATGTCCTTTTGATCTTGGGTTATGAGAGAGGGAGAGCATATTTTATATCTACCCTCTACCAGTTAGTATTATATAGAACTTTCTCTTCTCCCCTCTTATTCATCACATGTGTAAGGAAACATTCCCAATTTTTTTTCAACCATTTTCTATATATGTGTTTCCCTCAGCCCTTGAATATTCTTCTTGCCTGAACTCTAGTTCTGCAATACTCTGTGTGAGATGGGTCCCCAGTACCACAGAGAAGACTCCAGAAGAGAGGGAAACATTAATTGACTGATCTCATGGTATGGCCTTTTCTGTCAGATTCTGCCTCCCACTTCTCCTGGATCAAAATATTTTCCTTAGCTTCTGTCTGTGCTTATACTGTGAGCAGGGTTTCACAGAACTCAGTGCCATTCACCCAGGTCCCTCTGCTGAGTCCATGTAGTGAATAAAAACATGGTTAGGAGTTGAGGCATTCAAGCTGTTTCCTACAATAGACATTTATGATGCTACAGAGATAGAGATAGAGATAGAGATAGCGCCCACGGCAAATGTTGCCGCCTCAATTGCTTACCCCTCTTTCTAGAGTGATAATAACTATAGCGTTTATGGTCTCCAAATTGTTGTGGACAGTGCATAATCCCCTTCCTGTGCATCTCTCCTTTCAGAGGCAACATAAACCTTTCTGAGACCAAATTCATTTATGATGCTACAGAGATAGAGATAGAGATAGAGATAGCGCCCACGGCAAATGTTGCCGCCTCAATTGCTTACCCCTCTTTCTAGAGTGATAATAACTATAGCGTTTATGGTCTCCAAATTGTTGTGGACAGTGCATAATCCCCTTCCTGTGCATCTCTCCTTTCAGAGGCAACATAAACCTTTCTGAGACCAAATTATACATTGAAGACGTCATGGCAGGTTTCAACCTCACATTCCTGGCCTGGAAGCTGCCCACGTCTGGATTGCCATCCCTTTCGCGATGTCCTACATTATCACCATGTTGGGAAATGTCACAGTTCTCATTGTTGTGGGCAGAGATCAGACGCTGCACAAGCCGATGTACCTGCTGATCTGCATGCTAGCGCTCACAGACATCATCAAATCCACCTCCATCTTGCCAAAGGCCCTGTGTATATTTTGGTTCAATTTGAAAGGCATTACGGTGAGTGGCTGCCTCACCCAGTTGTTCTTCCTTCACACTGTTTCTTTTACGCAGTCAGCCATTCTGGTGACAATGGCCTTTGATCGTTACGTGGCCATATGTAACCCCCTCAGATATGCCACCATCCTCAGCAATGCACGAATAGCTAAGTTAGGGCTTGTAGGTTTGATAAGAGGCGTCCTCTGTATTCTGCCTCTGTCGCTGTTATTAAGCTGGCTGCCATATTGTGCCAACCGCACTATCGCCCATACACACTGTGCAAACATGGTTGTGGCAAAGTTATCGTGTGGGGACATCACCATCATCAGCATGTACAACTTGGTGGTAGCATTTACAGTCAGTGGATTAGACCTGATGCTCATTGCTCTGTCCTATGGTCTGATCATCAGGGCCGTCCTCAGAATCTCCTCCAGGAAAGCCCACCAGAAAGCCCTCAACACCTGCACAGCCCATCTCTGTGTGATGCTGACCATTTATACTCCAGGCTACTTCACCAGCTTGACACAACATTTCGGTCGGGGCATCGCTCCCCATATTCACGTTATCTTGGGAAACCTCAGTCTCCTCATCCCTCCCATGCTCAACCCCATTATTTACGGGGTCAAAACCAAAGAGCTTTGTGACAAAGTGAGCAAATGCTTCCACAGAAAGTGATTGCCTGTGTGTGACAAGAGGGGGTAAAGACATCTACATCTCCTCATTAATCAGGGAGCTGTATCCCAGGCCAACTAGGCTCAGCGTTGTTCCAGTTCACAGTCGGAGCAGTTCCAGACACTTAGGCTACGTCTACACTGGCATGATTTTCCGGAAATTCTTTTAAGGGAAAAGTTTTCCGTTAAAAGCATTTTCGGAAAAGAGCGTCTAGATTGGCAAGACGCTTTTCCGCAAAAGCACTTTTTGCGGAAAAGCATCCGTGGCCAATCTAGATGCACTTTTCTGCAAAAAAGCCCCAATCGCCATTTTTGCGATCGGGGCTTTTTTGTGGAAAATAAATCTTTGCTGACTACACTGGCCCTTTTGTGCAAAAGTTTTTCGGAAAAAGACTTTTGCCCGAACGGGAGCAGCATAGTATTTCCGCCAAAGCACTGACAATCTTACATGAGATCGTCAGTGCTTTTGCGGAAATTCAAGCGGCCTGTGGAGACAGCTGGCAAGTTTTTCCGGAAAAGCAACTGCTTTTCCGGAAAATGTGGCCAGTTTAGACACAGCCTTAATATCTTATCACTCTGTTACCACTCACTACTCTCTCCATTGCTTCTGCCTGACCTTGCCTCTTTCTGTATCCCCCATCAGCCCCCAAATTCCCACCCTCTGCCACTTGACTTCTAACTCCTAGACCGGCACAAGATACTGAAGCTTTCTTAGACAAGGCAGTTTTCCATTAGTCCCTGCATGAACATGGGTTTTGATCAGTTTAATGGATAGAAACTAGATTTTCAGATAGCCAAAGAAAATGAAAGAAATGACCATGCAGAAATTCTTAACAATATGTACAATGATCCACTGAGCAAAATTTACCTGATTTTTTTTATACCAATCTTTCAGGAAATCCTGCGGATAAACCTAATAAAGTTTGAATCCAATTAGAAATAAATAATATAACGTCACGGTTGTTTTTACACTACCTGTGTTAAGGGTTCCTTTTGGGCTATGTTTAATGATGCCAGCTGCCATTTCTCATCTGAAATACCTGCCAGACTTTAGTTAGGATGCAATTATCGGTGCTGGGGTTTTGATTTTTAATCTGACATTTCATATGTTTGTGGCTATTGTGAATGAGCTTCTTCTGTGGCATACAACTTTAAAAAATTAGAAATCAAATCTATACTAGGTATTTAACAAGAGCTTTCCTTGGTTACTTGATGTATAGACCAAAGGATGAATAAAACAATATTTCAAGAAATATGTTGGGCTACGTTTAAGTGATTTGTAAGTAACACTGGGCTATAGGTGCAGTAGAAATCTGGCAAACCCACCCAGCACCAGAGGGGCCAGAGATGCAGCCCGGAAGGTAGACTTGGGCTCGAGTGAAGGAGCAGCACTGAGTCAGAATAACCAGAGCTGGGCCCGAGGCTGAGCAGTAGCCCTGAGGCAGATGAGGGGAGATGGTGCAGATTAAAATTGGGAGATGGGGAAGCAAAAACCAGCTGTGTCAATGGGAAGCCAGGGACAATGGACAGCCGGGAACTGAGGGGCCGGAGCCAGGAAAGTACATGCCAGCCCTGCTACAAGTGAATATGGGGAGCGATGCCCCAACCAAAATGTTGTATCAAGCTGGTGAAGTAGCCTGGAAAATTATTAGCAGCCATGGAGGGCAGGGTGGGGCCATGAGCAGAGGGCCCATGCAGGGAGACATCAGGCATCAAAGGCTGAACTCAGGAGAGGGGACATGATCTTGATAGAAGGGCACACGCCGAGGAAAAGGGACCTGCTATCTAATGCTTGCGGGGGGTAGGGGGGTGTCTATCACCGGAACAAGTTTCTGACCCCAGGTGTCACCGTAGAGCAGCCAGAGTTTGCGCAGGCAGCTTGGGATCTGTGGGGGGGCCAACTGTGAACATTCTCACAGCCCAGACATGGCTGCTGGCGCTATCCCTATGCCCCAAGAGCGGGGTTCCTTGTGTCTCTGGGCCTCTTTCCTTGGTTGTTTTTCTCACCATTGATGTGGAACACATTGCATGTGGTATGAGTGTCGTGGAGGGTTGAGTTGCTCAGGCAAATGACAGATCCCCTGTCTCTCCTGAGAACAGTAGCCCCCGTCCTAAGTGATCACAATGAGACTGTCAAATATGCATCTAATATCAAGAGCTTTCATGGGCCTAACACACTTCATCATTTGAGCTAGGGAGGGATAATAGGACCAAGAGTTTATAACAGTAAATAAAGTAGAATAATAAAGGTAGCTGTCAATTGTAGGGCCAGTGCAAAAGTGAGGTTTTAAATGCAGGGAAAGCTGGCCTTATAATGCAAAGTAGAATAATAAAGGTAGCTGTCAATTGTAGGGCCAGTGCTAAAGTGAGGTATTAAATGCAGGGAAACCTGGCCTTATAATGCTGTAATCAGATCATGGGTTTTTTCAACCCCAAGGAAACAGTGTGAAATTTGCAGCTGAACATCAGGTCCACACTCTATTGTTGGCTGGTGAAATTCCTTTGTAGAAGGACAGCTCCTTTTAAATCCATTCATGAGGGCCAGACAGGTTAAAATGTTCCCTTACAGATTTCTGGTAACACCATTATATTGTATTTTAATAATTTCGTGAGCCGCCTCGAACATGTACTGGCGCATGTACAAGAACCTCATGCGCCAGCACATTCGGATCCTAGAAAGGCTGAAGGAGACCATGGCCAAGAGGATGTGGGCAAAGGCTCAATGTCATGACCAATTCCTGGATGAGCTCGTCCAGCAGCAGACAGCAAGCTGTGCCACAATCTGGGAGGCCATGGCAATCCCAGGTCCTGTCCCTTTTGCCAATCCTCCTGCTCAACCTGCTCCAGCTCCCGCTGTACTCCCTTCCTCCCCCCCCCCAGCCATTGCAGACCCAGCTGCAGCCCCCCTCCTGCCCACCCCCCTACTGTCCCAGGCACCACACAACCCCGATCACATCTAGGTCCACAGACCCAAGGTGGCAGGACTTTGCAGTCCAGGCGACACCGTCTGCCCTGAGCTCCCCTCCCCCTTCCAGGTTTACAGCTCCCCTTCTCCACAGTTAAAGAAATGTTTTTATGTTTAAAACAAAGTTTATTTTTGAAAACAACACTGTTATTTTGTTATTGATTGTTATTCCATGCTCACTTTGTTGGTTATTTAATACACAGTCTATTTTCCAAAGAAAACCTGGTGTCTGTGTTTACTGTCCGGAGAGTGGGGCAGGGATGGGTTGTGGGGGGGAAAGGTCTTGGGGGGGGCAGGTCCTACCCCCATTGGGGAGGCCCTGGGGAGAGTCACTGGGATCCTTCTGAGAATCTCTCATGCAGGGCCTCCCAGATGCACATTCTGGCCTGCTTCCCCTCAACATCAGCCAGTGTCTCCCACCCTGAGAGGAAGGCCTCCCCTTTCTTCTCCACCATGCTGTGGAGCACGCAACACGTGGCCACCACGTTGGGGATGCTGTGTTCCCCCAGGGCGAGTGAGTAGGCACCTAAACCCCCACTTCATACCCCCAAAGGCACATTCTACTTGCAAGTGAACCCGGTTCAGGGGCGGGTTAAATTGTTCCCTGCTCTCATCCAGGTGGCCAGTGTAGGGCTTCATGAGCCAGACAAAAGGGGATGCGCCGCATTGGCGACGATGCACATTGGCATCTGCACAACCCTGACTGCAAAGTTTTGCTGTGGGAAAAATGTTCAAGACTGCAGCCTGCAGTACAGGTAGGAATTACGGAAGATGCAGGCATCACGTGCCCGGTCTGACCACCCCATACAAATGTCCATAAACTGTCCCCGGGGCTCTGTAGCCAGACAGGAACCCCCCTGTATCATCCATTTTTGCTTGCCTGGAGCATACAGGGCACCCAGAGCAGTAAAAGCCTTGAACAGGAGGCTCAGGATATTACAGGCTGCTGTGACCGTGAATGGCTGTAAACAGAGATATGCCGTTTGCTGACCAAGAGGCTGCCGAGGAGTGCCCTTGACTAAAACCCATATTGATACGAACACACAGCCGTCCGAGGGGAAGGAATCTCTTGCCCAGTAAAAAAATGTCTAGTACTCACAATTTAGTTATCTCTCTTGCAAGTGTAAATTAAGTTGAAACTTGCTTGTAAGAACTGGCGTCACAAAGACAAACCAGTACAATTCGGCATCTTAGATAAGAAAGAGGATACGGGCCCCTATGGGTATAAAGATGGGTCCAGCAGCACATTTACTCTGAGTGTCAATCTACCATCTATCTGCTGGTCGGGTTAGGGGTTTGACCTCCCGAGGTTCCACGGGGACGCCCACCTC